CCTCGCTCTACATAAAGCGCAAAGTGCTGGTAGACTGGTAGACAACCAGCATCTGCAGAATTAGAATTTGCTGAGCTAGCCGCGCTAGACAGTAGGCACTTTGGTAAAGCAAGATCCCCCAATTGTCTCAACTTATGAATTCCTACCAGGTCATCATGCTAATAGCAGTTCGGGGGGGGGGGGGGGATGCAACGACCATTAATGACCATTAATGACCATTAATGACCATTAATGACCATTAATGACCATTAATGACAATGTCAGTTTTGTCAAAATTTCATTACTGACATTAATGGTCATGTTTTTTCCGGCACTTCTTAGAGCGAAAAGGACGGACGCCTGCATCACTTAGACCCTACCTTAAGTTAACTAACTACAAGTATATGTTATTATTTTACATTTACAATTAGAGATTCGAAAGAGAAAACTTAGAATAGAATCTTCCGTGGTTAGGCAGACCTTTCAGAATATCACTTGAGTGGATTCCAGAGTGAGTTAGGGATTACATTTATTAAGTTCGAATGTAATGAAGAACAAATTTTGCGGCAACGGGATTTAAACCAGATAACAGTTGGTGACTTATAGTTATCAATAATAATAATTCAAAGGGCAATTTAGGAGTATCAGATCGTATCAATAGTAAAATAACAATCAATAATAAAATAATAATAACACGGGTATTAAAATTAAATACTTCGTTCCCGTTCTTATATCATATCAAGATTTATATTTTAGCCAAATCATTATGCTAGTCGATTATATAGTAATTACACAGTAGATGAACTTATTCAACTTTAGCACTTCATGAAATACATCGTCATCAGTCTGAATCGGACAACAAAAAAGCTGATTTTTTCCTAGGATCGAACAATTCGTTTACAGTTCAATATAATACTCTGCCTTCGGCAGTTTTGACCCAAAATCGAGCACTGTCATCATAATTGTAAATTTCTAAATGGACATGTTTGCTTCCAAGATAGTTCCGAATTTCAATTATTTAATGACCATTAATGACCATTAATGACCATTAATGACCATTAATGACCATTAATGACCATTAATGACCATTAATGACAATGTCAGTTTTGACAAAATTCCGTCTACTGACATTAATGGTCGTTGCATCCCCCCAGCAGTTCACATCGAGAGACAAAAAAACTAACGTATAAAATAATTCAATAATTCAAAGTCCATCTGCACTACCATTCAGGGCTAGTCCTGGCGTGCGCGATTAAGAAAACGTAACAAAAGAATGCCTAAAGATGGGTGTGATATTATTGCGGAGGTGGCGATGTTAAATCCATCATCCAATGAGAAGGGAGTGTGGATCCCTCACTAGTCAATAGGATTGAAGCATTTTGCAGAGCTGAGCTTATTTGATTAAAACAGGAATGAAAAGCATATCAGATTACCACAAGGACGCAAAGGTCACCGCTTACCTGTGTTTCTAAACTCTATAAACTAACAATCCGTGGACTGCTATCAATTCTTTTATAAACTACATTTGACAGTTGATATTTCATAATTACCTAATCCAAAAAATAATTGTACGTATCAAAAACTTACAGTGACAGTTGCTAGAAAGCAAGCACGTTTGAACTATAACATTCCAGCCGCATCACCATTCCCATCACAGTTCACGAGACATGAAGCCTCAATTTATCAAGAACAAACGAATATCATAATTCAAAGTGAATCTGCATAATGGGGCAGAATAAACGAGTAAAACTAAAGCCGGAAAATACTAATCATTGCAGTTCTACGTACTGAGCTAAATGGTACCCTGGCAACCAACCCCGTACTAGAGCTGCCCTACAGTATGAGGGACATGTTGCACAACAGCATTACCAGCGACGAGAGTTTTTAACTGCTGCAGTGAAAATTAGATCAGTGTGACTGTGACGATGTTAGCCCCGCTATCCAATTAGGAGAGAGTATGTAGCGCTAATTAGCCAATAAGATCGCTGCACTCTGCAGAACTGCAGACACCAAATTTAATAAAGAAATGAGGAGCCTATCACATTACAGCAGGGACCTGGGACGCAAAGGTCACCGCTTACCCGTGTTTCAATGAGAGACACGTTGCATAACAACATTAACAGCAGGTGAGCAGGATGAATGTTCTCGACTACTGCTGCAGATCAGTGTACATGTGAGGATGTAAACTCCGTTATCCAATGAGGAAAGAGTGCGAACCTTTCACTAGCCAATAGGATCACAGCATTCTGAAAGGCAAATTACTCTGCAACGTCCTGCTTATTAGATTACCGTGAGAATTCAAAGCTCCTCAGGTTACCACTGGGACGCAAAGGTCACCGCTTACATGTGTTTATTCTACAAAAATTATAATATAAAACACAGTGTGTTTCTGTTCCCAAAAATTGCCGAGAAGGTCTGGGGTGATACTGGTATGTTTGACTAATGAACTTTAATTTTATCTGCTGCAGCGAAAATTAGATCAGTATGACTGTGACGATGTTAGTCTCGCTATTGAATGAGGAGAGAGTATGGAGCGCTAATTAGCCAATAAGATCGCAGAACTCTGCAGAACTGCACACACCGACGTCTCAGAAGTCATTGAATTACCATGAGAACACAAAGCTCATCAGATTATCAGTGGTAATACCACAGGAACGCAAAGGTCACCAGTTAACAAGACAATATACTGCGTACACACACATAGCACTATCTCTGGTATTTATAAGTACGATTAACATTGTACTGAGTTATTACATACTGTAGGGCTACTATATTAGTTCTTGTATTACAATCAGCATCCTACACTTAAAAGGAGTAGATTTGTACGATGATGTGATAGTGAAAATACAGTTGCGCAATGGAGGTGTGGATAATATGAAAATGAGTAGCTGACGCAGGGAACATGATCCCCGATCGCCCCATCGCGTGACTTGTAGTTGTAGTAGATCATAGTTGGGAGGTGGTACATTGTTAGCCAGCATCGTGTGACCATTGGTTTCAATTTACAATTTACATGTTCGTTCTTTAGTTAGGTGAATTGTCAACTATGTCTTTGGCAATGGCTCCCTCCCTCCCTCTGTACTTTGATTGAAACATTTTATATCTTCTCATCAGGTAAATTTGTCTTCTTTGAAATTAAACTTAACTGAAAGTGGATAACACATTATACTGTTAAAATAACATTTTTCTTATAACCAGGTATGTTTAAAATGGGAATAATATGTTATCAAAGATGATGCGGAGCAGAGGCACATATTAGGTGCGATGGGTGCGGGATCGCACAATTTACCGTTTCCCGCACATTTCCGCATAATTCATTGTTTTCCGCACATTTTGTAATTTTCTGCATATTTCCGCATAATCTAGCATTTTCCGCGTAATTTCGCATAATTTTGAAATTTTCGCGTTAAGATTTTCGAGTGTAAAAACCAAAATATGTTAAAAGTCGGGCCCTTTTAGGACCGTGACTCAGGCCCTTTCGGGACCCTGACCCAGGCCCTTTCGGGACCGTGACCCAGGCCCTTTTGGAACTCATACCTAGGCCACGTGACCCAGTTACCACGTGACCCAGGCCCTTTCGGGACCCTGACCCAGGCCCTTTCGGGACCGTGACCCAGGCCCTTTTGGAACTCATGCCTAGACCGTACGTGACCCGGTTACCACGTGACCCAGGCCCTTTCGGGACCGTGACCCAGGCCCTTTCGGGACCGTGACCCAGGCCCTTTCGGGACTGTGACCCAGGCCGTTATGGAACCCTCGTCGTTACCGTACTTCGATTATAGTGTCAAGTGTATCAGTTATCATTCGTAACTTCCATGATCCAAAGTAGGTGATAATAGAAGAAGTAGGTGTAAAGGGTAATGAGCTCTATTCGTTGTAGCGTTGGCTTTATAGTGGGCTTAATGGATCAAATGGTTCACAAGTACTGACGATCAATGCCAACAAGCGTGTCACATATTTGCGATCACGCATGGGATCTGATCGACTCTATCAAGAGGTGTCTTCAAATAACTGTCTCCTGATCTCTACCAGATCAAGTCACTGTTCTCAGATAACTGAATCTCAATATAGGTTCAATCATGGTCTTAGTAAAGAACTACACCCTCAGTAACACATAAACAGACCTATTTTTGATAAGATCGGCGGTTATACGTTTAGAATTTCCAAAGTCCTTGAGAAAATGCAAAAGAAAACCGCACAATTTTTCGAAAAAATCGCCGCACATTTGCCGCATAATTGGTAAAAATTCACCGCACCTTACCGCACATTTTACCTTTATAGTCGGGTGCGGTACCGCATAATTTCGATTTTTTTACCGCACCTAATATGTGCCTCTTAATTGCGGAGAGGTCAATTCTGTCATCGTGGAACCCAATAGTTTTCTTTCGTCGCTCATAGGGGACAGCATCATTGTGATATTAACAGTGATGCAGCACATGGCTGTTTGTGACTTGATGCAAGCTATATTCAGACTATTCCCTGTCACTTTGGCATTAATCACAGATCGCTGGGTGATGGGAGAGCTGCTCTGTCATGTTCAGTATAAGAAACACTGAGATGGGAGGGTGTTATCACAATATTTCCTTAAAGTGAAGATATCTGAACTCCTTTCCTAAATAAGGCTGTCTACGCAAGGAGGCCGACATTCGACAACCGCATCAAAGACATCAACCCCATCAATCATCATAGACCAGTGGCCCTTCAAAGACCATATCCAAGACAAAGACCCATTCCAAGGCAAGATCCTCCAGAATTAGTACAAAGTGATGATATCCTAACTCCCTAATTTTAAATTTCTTTATTTTAGATTCGTTTTCTAACCTTACCGAATTGAAAGCTTCAATAAGTTTTTACAAGATTATATCTTGTAATATCTTGTATATTATACCAAACACAAAAATCGATATAATTGCCGATGTAAATATTTCTGTTATATTAGCGACAAGAGAAACGCCATTGTTGGACGTGAGGAGAGTGAGGACTCCTCAAACTACATTAATTAAATGAACGCCTTCTGTAACGTCCTCAATAAATGTAATATATTTGTAGTGTTGTAATTATTTTAAAATATATGCTTGAAAGATGTCGTGTATTAATTCTTTTCACTAACTATTTATCAGTGGGTGACCGTAAATGTCGTAAAATTTAGGTTTGATTTTCACCCCACACAGATAAGATAAGTCCACCTAATTGGGTCTTCCAGCACCTAGATTACCTTTATGTTGATGTTGGGGAGGGACAGGACTGCAATGTTTCCCCCGTATCCGATCCAGATATTCTCCCCGACAGGTGCTATAACAGAGACTGGTAATGGTTGCATCGTCTTACCTGCAAATAGAATACAGAGTTTATTCAAGAGAACTCAGGAGAACCTGTAAAACAGGGGGTCAATTGTCGGGGGGTCAATTGTCGGGGGGTCAATTGTCAGGGGTCAATTGTCGGGGGCTCAATTGTCGGGGGGTTAATTGTCGCCCACCCCTGTAAAACTTGTACAGGTTCTCTTGAATTCTTTACTAAAACCACAACTTTAATCAAAAATTTAATGAACCGTATTAAAAAAGCGTGCAATAAGTAAATTGTGAAGAATGTTTCAGAGGACGCAGTAGGAAACAAACAAGTGTGACAAATTCGTTCACAGCCAATCATCTTTCCAAGTTTTCTGCGTATAGAGTTTTAGAAGTACAGAAATAGTTGCAGATTTGAGAATAAAAACTGCCATAAGATTTTCATGAAGAGAATTAAACAGTTTTCGAATTAGTGCTAATTCTCAATTTAGAGGATTATAACACATGATCCCGCAATCTGAAACACGCAGGCAGTGATCGTTTGTCTTACCGTAACATACGTTGTTCAAAAGGTAGTGCCATTTATCTAAAAAACAAGATATTGTAACCAATATTTAGTTAAAAACAGACCTGTTGAACTTTTGAAAATGAAATTAATTTCGCATAAAAAATTAGGTTTACACATACAAAAACCACGAACAACACAAACATACGTGCACCGTCCACCCACGAGCAGCAACATAAAACTCACCTAACATGACGAGCTTGTAGTTGTTCATGTTCCAGCCGTGACCGTCATCCTTGTATTTGTTGAAGATGGCCACACTGCTGTCCGCGCATCCGACCATTACCACGTTGTGACGCGCAATATGTCTGTGAGGTGTAGTCCGGTCAGGGAGTTGGAATTATAGAACGGCCGCGAAAAGTGGGCCGCAAAAATCTCGAAATTGCAAAATAATTATAATACAAGCTCAAAATTAAGGCCCAGCTTTTTTTCGACAGAGGTGTAGTTTACGTCGCTTTAGTAATTTTAAATTTCTTCATATTTATATTCTCTACTCCGTAATCCGTAGTCCGTACCTTATTTCGAGGATGGAGTCCTTCAACCGGACACGACTGAGAAGTGTTTCAGATTGTTCCATAGATGAGTGTATTGCCACGCTGAAAATAAGTTTAATGTTAAACTTAAAGAAGTTTGGAAAAATCTGAAATAAACTGAACAATTTGTATGTATGATGTTCCAGTAAAAATTGCTATTGGCATTGCTCGTCCAGCGAATAATAGCTAAAATGTCACCCAGACAACACAACAAGTGCTGAATATTTGTAACTCACAATCCGCTTTGAGTGCCAAGCCAGAAGGTTGGTTTGTGAAGGAGGAGGTGATCCGACTGATTAGTGGAGCAATACTCGAAGTTATCGTTAGCACTCCCCATGTCGCTACTCTCATTATCACTATCGCTCATCTCTGCCGTTTCCTTTAGGTTCACCATCTCTGCAGGTTCAAGCAGTCAGGTAATTGAAAATCCGGCAAATCAGGGATTAAGGAAATATGAAACTTTCATGACACAATAAGGGAGTTTAAGGGAATGAAAATGATAAAACAACTTGAACAGTTTTATCTACGCGCCGGTTCGGAGCCACCATAGCTGATTTTTATTTCAAATAACGCATAAAAATGCAGGAAATATACGGCAGATAGTGCGATTCCACATCGCACGCATCTAAATTGTGCATACGATCCAGAATATTTTAAACTCTGAAAATAAGCAACTTTTGTCACCTAGCTCCAGGAGCGGTTCCGCGGCAGGGACGTAAGCTATGCAGATTATAGAAGACTTGGTGGCGACAAATGTCTGCTTAATCTCAGTAGGATTAGCCGGGTCAACTATGTAGACCTCTCCCTGCCCCTCTCTTTCACAGCAAACCTGAGGAGTTTGGACGTTGTCAAGTAACTTGTACGTGTATACTACTGTATAAACTACCCTGGTGACTACCATAGTAACAACCATGGTAACCTAGCTAAGTACTCTGCTTACATTGTAAAACCATATGTCCACGATAAGGTGCTTCCCTGAAAACAACTAAAAGCACCCTCGTGCAGACAACCTTTTGCCCATATCCTGCCACCGGGCTGGAAGAGTTTGAGTAATTTCTTATCACATTTGATTAAAGCACAAGTTTAAAAACGACGGGGCATGCCGTTAATGACAGTAGATTTACAAAATACACAAATTAATGGAATGGGAGAGCTAACTATACAGTCAAAAATACTACAAGTTGTAACTGACTGGTGTATCTTGTTTCAACTATCAGCACCTAAATACGACATGTAAGTACATAATATGCATTCTGATTATTACTAAAGTATAAGAATCCTTAGGAATTGCTATCAGATGCTACTTTTTGTACTTTTGACTCAATCCTTTTAATCTTTACACCTCCAATTAAAAGTACAACTCTCTAAATAATCGCACTGAAAAGGTAAAATTGGTTGCACATCTTCTCTCTAATTATGGCCAGCTCGTGGTACTCAGTCCGCGGAGCTAATGCCACCTGACACTGTACACCGCATTAACGCTGGCGCTGTAACCCGAGACGCTGCACAGCGCGGTGTTCAGTTACCGTCTCTCGTTCGTTCCTTTGCTTTACATGAGTAGCACAGTGCAGCCCACCGTGGCCCAGCCCGACTTGGAGCGGGTTTCCTCCCGACTCAAGGTCGAGCATACAGCCGCTGAAAAGGGAGAGGCGGGGGAAACAACCCCGGCAGAAAGAGACACCAGGAGAGTAAAGGAAGAGGGGAGTGGGGAGCAGGGGGAGTTCTACAGCGAGGAAAAAGTGGTGGAAACTTCGATATCTCCCAAAGAAGCAGCAGAGGTACAGTCCCCCGGGAGACGAGGTGCAGGATACCAGACAACACAAGATAACTACGCAGGATACAATTATGAAGAGAGACGGAAGATGATCAGCAGTCCCACGGAGGAAGAAGCAGCAGCAGCACCAGAGTACGACCAGCAGGGTCACCAATACTACGCTTACAGCCCTCACCTTATGTACCAGGGACCCGGCCAGACGTTCGGGTTTCCTAACCCTCAGATGTACTATAGAGCAGGAGCGGGAGATTACTACTTTGCAGCTTCACAAGGAGGAGTTCCCAGTAGTCCTGCTGCTAACTATCAGCCTTATACTGAGATTTGTCCTAAAAACAGTTACATTCAGCCTCAGAAATATCAACCTCAGAGTCCACCCTTGTCTCCTAACCCTCGTGGGAGGAGTATCACTAAACAGGGGGTTTATAATGTCAACAGCATGATTTCTATCAGATCAGAGAAAAATAATGTTACAGCAGCTTCAGCTATCAAGAAAGTTTTCATCTGGGATTTGGATGAGACTATAATAATATTCCACTCTCTGCTGACGGGAGCTTATGCTGAAACCTATCAGAAAGATGCACAGTCTACAGTAAACCTGGGGCTGAGGATGGAGGATATGATCTTTAACCTAGCAGATACTCATCTCTTTTTCAATGACCTTGAAGAGTGTGACCAAGTTCATATAGAGGATGTAGCAAGCAAGGACACTGGACAGGAGCTTCACAACTACAACTTCAGTGCTGATGGTTTCAGCGCTCCAGCACAACAGGGAGCACTAAACAAGGCAGCTGTAGGAGGGGCAGCCTGGTTCAGGAAACTAGCATTTAGGTACCGTAGAATACGGGAGATTTACACGGCGTGTGCGGATAATGTCAACAAACTCCTCGGACCACAGAAATACCAATCTTGGGTAGAGCTGAGGAATGAGGTGGATTCAATGACAGATAACTGGTTGGGACTGAGCATGCAGGCGTTACAGTTGATCCACCAGCGCCAGGACAGCGTTAACATCCTGGTAACTACAACTCAACTGGTACCAGCACTGGCTAAATGTCTCCTACACGGCCTGGGAGAGATGTTCCCGGTACAGAATATCTACAGTGCTACAGCTATTGGTAAAGAGAGTTGCTTCGAGCGCATTGTGGCCAGGTTCAGCACTAAAGTCACGTATATTGCTATTGGAGATAACGATGATGAGGCTCAAGCAGCGAAACAGCTAGGCTTTCCATTCTGGAGAGTTAGTTGCCATCAGGACTTGACAAACTTGCACGTGGCATTACGGGAAGAATACTTGTAGTCTCTGCAGTGTGTAGCTTATCAAAGGACAATAACAGAGTTAATAGTTTAAGTTATTTGATATGAGAATGAATTTTTAACCTGCATGTACTATTAGAAATACATCTTGATTCGATTATTCACAATTGATTTTGAATTGATATAATTTTAATTGTAAGCAGAGCTTTAAATTAAGATATAATGTGCTATGTAGGGCAATAAAAACTGGTTGGAGCTTGCACTTTAATTTATTCTGGTAAGGTTTCAGTTTTATATTAAATATTAAACGAACAGGATTCAGATATTATTATTTGGTTACAGTTATACGTTGTGTTACAGTTATTAAACTCATTTAATTTGTTCCCCAAAATTGCCCACGATAATAGTTAATTTACACAACTTAAAGGCGAAATTTTGAACACTAGTAGTAGTAAATCTTTCAAAGTACGAAATATCTCTTTAAAAGAGCATCCTAGGCACCTTATAGATATCAAAACGCATAAAAAAGAAAACAAAAACATCAACCATCTTCTAACTTCTTCCACTCCTCCCTATCTAAAGCTAAAAATCTAAGGTCTTCGAAATCAGTCAAATTCTTAAGTCTAATATCAAGATTTCTACTAGTCAAGTCTTTTCTAATAACATCTAATAAGTTTAAACATGGTCTACCCCGTCTCCCTTCCATAAAAATATCAGAATTTATAGCAAATAACATAGAGGTGTATGCTGGTGAGTCTTCCTGTCCTCTTAAGATATGTCCTAACATTCTCCATCGAAACTTAGAGACTCTCACAGACAAGGGAGTGACATAACAACGAGCATAGAGTGCCTCATTAGAAATGAAACACTAATGTGATTAAATTAAGGATGTCCAAAGCAGCAATGTTCTTCAACTATAAACAAATATATCTGATTCTACACTACTGAAAGTACGAAACACTGAACCTAAATCTACCTACCCATGTCATATATCTGGTGGTAAGAGGATCGTCGTCATTTGCAGTCGCACAACACCGCACCAGACTCTTTCTTTCATTGTCAAGAGACCCAAGAGGTCCGCAGTAAATAGGTGCGGGTATACTCTGTATAAAGTCCATGTCTTGGAGACTTTGGGACGCTACATCGTGCGGTAAACTCCACCCTTGTATGAAATGTCTGCTTTGCACTGAAATATGTGTTAATAGTGATTCAAATAACATCCTGGGTTCAATTTAAGTAATTTACAGACTAATTGTCCCAATTATAGTGCGCCGATTTAGATTTGGCGGTTTTTTTGAAATTCTCAGTGGGGTGAGCCAATCAAAATACACAGAAAAACCAATCCAGTTCCTAGTGTTTCTAGTAGAAATACTGAGTGGATCTTTATCATTATTATCGAGTTCTCAAGTTCAACCGCCAATTTTAAATCGTTGCACTATCATAGTAACACAGTAATTAATTTCTAAAACTTACTTGCAGCTTTCTGTCTGGCTAACTTGTTCTTGTTATCTCTGAAAATAGGATTTTGTCGCATAATTTGTTGCTTTGAGACTCGGGTAGACTTTAGATGTGCCTTTTTCTGTAGGTCAGTACTCAGTAAGCAAATTCGCGATTGTGCAATGATTGTACGTGGATTTGTATGCTTTTGTCAACAATTGATAGACAAAAGCAAATCCAATGAATCTTAATGAAAAGCTCACTCTTTTATCATGTCAGGAAGTTTCTTCATTTGCCCAACTGCAACCTTTCTATCATCGGTCATAGGTTCAGACGCGGTCCTTTTTCTGGCGAATAGTCCATTGAACAGTGCCCAGAACTTGCTCTTTTCATTGGTCGTTGATTCTTGTTGTACCTCCACATATCTGGTGCTGAAATAATCAGTCGTTAGTTTAAAGTAAGTAGAGTAAGTTTGTAATAGTATTTAAGTGAAAACAATGGAATAAATGACAATACCACTGCAAACCGCGAAGTAATTTGCAGCGGTTTTGTCATGTCACATGATTGCTCCATTCCTTGGATCGAGTTGATGCGCGCGACGAAAGCGCACATCTTCGCGCGAAGGACATTAGTTTTTAAATGTTCGCTCCTTCCGTTCCAGTACGATTTAAATCAATATTGTGACCGAGCTCAGGGCAAAGTCTGAAATAGGCTGGCAATTTACCTCAAATCCTCTTGTAACTCCAAGTACTTCTCCTTATAAAGGTTCTTCTCTCGTATTACCTTGTCCATCTCAGACCTCGTAAATCGCTTTTCAGAGTTATGGTCTTCCTTGGAAGAATAGCATGAAACACTCGTTATAACTGATAAATAGTTATCCATGCACATAGCACGCACTGTCGAAGTATTTTGACCTTTTATAAACTAAAAGGTCTGACATTAAAGGAACTGTCAAATATTTACTTCTGAGGGTTTGGAGATAAGAGCAGGATGTTGCAACGTACTCATTTGCTTCATCCTCATCTCCATTTCCATAAGTTTCTCGAATATGTTCTTGTTTTCTGATTCGAGGGCTGTGATCTTCTTATCGGAGCCCTCAGTTGTACTGAAATACGTATGGTTATCCAACGGATAAAAAAAGCTTGAGTAAGGAGTTTTGAGGAAAACTATCTGGCTTTTACCACAGCGATTTTCATGGAAATTGTTGGTAAATGGATATTGAGGCTGCTTAGTCCTTATTGGGTGATGTGATAGGCCCGTCAAACCACGTGATACAACCACGTGACACAAGAGAATTTCAGCTAAATGATTTATTAACCATTTCAGTGTTTGTTCTTGCTTCGACATGATGAAATTTCACGAACTATGATCGAATTTCTAGATCATTCACCATAATTTACTGCAGACTTTCAATCTGTGGATCCATAAGCTACAGAATTTTGCAGTATAGCTGCCCTACGAGTTACGAAATCCTGCTAAGCAAGTCAGGTTACTGATAGTGTTATAGATCTGGATACTTGTGGGGAGGTGAAACATATTCCTTTCTAACACGTGACAGCTATTAACCAATCAGCTTCCAGCGTTGACAAATCAAATCCCAGAATCACCGTCAGGTTTCAAAACAAATTTATTTCACCCCAAACGTGAAAGTAAACATAAAACATGTAAAAGAATATATAAATCTATAAAACCTCTGTGTTCGACATTCTTTTATACGCTACAGTGAATCTATCAAAAAATACTCATCCAATTTTCGTACCTCTCGCTTTGCTGTAGTTTAGTAAGTAGTTCGTTGTTATCTTTCATCAACTTATTCCTGAGAAAAGTTTGTTCATTATCAATTCAATCATGCGAAATTAAAGTTTAGCATTATTGTCTGTCTGTTTCTAACGAGGTGTCAACATTTTCGATTCTATCCAATCTCATTAAACAGGTGGTTTGAGAGATACAACTAGCCCATTTTGGAAGCAAGAAAAGTGCACTGCTCAGTAGTAGGCAGCTAGAAGTGCTCGTCACCAAGTGAGCGTAAATAAAATAGCCCGGAGCTAGAAAAGTCATGCGTTGCTGCAAAATCTACCCAAGTTAAAGATGTGGCTACTAAGACGATTATCACCCTGCGATGTTTGAAAGAAATGGAATGTGAAAATGACGTAAGGTGGCTTGCTGTGAATTGGTCGTAGTAAGAGAATGGCACGTAGTTGTGAAAGGATAATTTCTCTGTGGTACTTTCCTTGTGTATGCAAACCACGAGTCACGACTGTGTTCGAGATTTCGGGTGTAAGTGCGTACTGAAGCGGTGCCACAGACCACGAGTATTCATTTATATTTTCTCTATTTTCTCATATTACTCGGTATGCTCCACATGGGGCCTGTAGTGAGTGTAGAGTGATGTCTCCCGCATGGACGTATGGCGGGAAGTATCGCCACAACCACGTGCCATTTTCACTTACAAAACACGACACTGTCAAAGGTTGAATGAGTGCAAAGTGAAGTGGCAATGCCCCCGCAATGGTTTTGAGGAATGTGATGATGGAAGATGCACAGAAGAGAACTGACAGTCAAGTGGTAAGCCATACTCAGTATCTTACAGGACATCTTGCTGTGTTTTGTAAAGTATCTCAACGGTCACATCGTACTCAGGATACAGCTGTTCGTATATCTCCTTTTCTGTGAGTGTGGTGTAGGAGGAGCAGGTAGAGGAGGAGGAGGGGGAGGAGGAGGAGCTTCGGGAGTTTGAAGGTGATCTTGGAGAAGGTGACACGATTCTCTGGTTGAAAGGGAAACGTTCTTCGTGGAGGCTCTCAAAATAGTCCAGAATATTAGTTTTAGTTACTGTTCTGCTCACGTTAGACCTTGAACTGTCATCTAGAAATGAAAATACTTCGTTGACAAAGTTCTCGTCACTCGTTGGAGTTGGTATGTTAGGTTTTTCAGGCTCACGCCGGTTTTGTTTCGTTGTTTCTTCAAGTGCCGTCAAAGGTAGACTACTCGATTTTTCAAGACCTACAATGTCCGGTTTATTTGGTATCTCGTCCTGTCTTTCCAGTGCTAATCTGAGGATTCCTTCTAGCTCATTCAGCGTCTCTAATAATTGTTCTTTTACTTGACCCTGGTTATTGTCTGTATTTTCAGAGCCAGATCCCGCAAACACAGAATGATTTAAACCTTGTTTAATGTCAGATATGGCTGTGAGTTGAGAGTTTGTCTTTGTTTGGACACAACAACACTGAACCCCAGCTTCAGCAACACGAGGCTGTGAAGTGACCCCACCTTCAGCAACACTAGGTTGAGAAGGGACGTTAAGGTCAGTCAGACCAGTCTGTGTCAGTTTGTCAGTTCGAACAGTCAGGTCCCTGAGGTATGTAGGTATTATAGATACACCGCACTATCGGATACAGGGAATTCTATAATCATATTGCTACTGCTAGGGTCGGATTACATTAAATGTTATGAAATAGATGGATGTATTTGTTCGCTATAATTACTGCACCGTGGGACTCAAGCCAGCTCTTATTTCTTTCTCAGCACTTCACAAAGCAAGGTAGTTAAATAGTTTCTCTAAATAGTTAAATAGTTTCCTATAATCGGGCTGAAGGAATTTAATAACTCACCTTAAAAACTCCAAGTCCTGCTTTTCTTTTAACAGTGATTGCATCTCATTATCACCTGCTGCAAGGGAAAGACACTTCAGATCGGAAAAAATTCTCACAATTCTAAAATAATATTATACTGTAGACAGCATTTCTCTCTGTAGACAGAGAGATTATACTGTAGACAGCATTTAATATATAAACTGTTCTCGCCGTTATAATTAAAAATAAACTACTAGTAGATAGAGATCTTTAGTAAATTAGAAGAACACAGGCAGTTTACAAACCACTAAAAACTGAGCTACGCCTCGAAGAAGGCTCGGAGAGAAAGTCTGTAGCTTCTTGGATGAGAGCTTGGTGCTTTGCAGGACTCGATACTCTGTCCAAAAAGAAAAGGTTTCATATTTCGAGTATTCCATGATCACGTGTGCAGTGTACATTGAGAAGCAAGTAATATGTATCGTAAGATCAAAGAATTATTGACTCAAAGTAAAAGAGATTTTGTGGCCAATGAAAATTGCACTCCCCAAATCTGAATCATTGTTTTATAATAGAAAACACAAATTGTTGTAGATTGCATTTGCACATATTGCAACATATTCTTTAAAATAACTAAATTGATTCGCACAGCGACTCAAGCTTCCAACAATCAACTTGAAAGTATCAAGGTTATCAGACAATACACATCTCAGGGTTTAATCTCCCTCTTACCCGACAGGAATTCCATTAAGTTCATCAAACAAGTTCTGAGTATTAGCAGGCTGGGACAGGACGTTCTGTAAACCGTCCAGTTCATCATCCAGCTCCTCCTCACTCTCACACCTCATCATACTGTGGTTAGTGTTCAGTGCAAACAGAGAGAATTAAACTGGTCACGTAAATTACTTGATTGTGAAATATAATATTCACTGATATGAAATTTACATAGATAGATTGAATCGCTTACCCAATGAAAAGTGGATAATAAATGCTATAATATAAAATATATATATTATTTATTGCAACTCTGTTGTTAATTGTTGTAGTCAGCATTGTGTATGGGATGGAAGTGCTTTTGAACCAGGTGTAGCCAGTCCACACCCTGTCCCCATAATATGAAGGACTTGTTCTGTTCTAAATGAATAAGCTCGAATATCCTGGAATTGATTAGTGGCCAGGCGAGTTCATGAGGCAGCTACAACCACATTCCGATGTGGTGATATAACTACATTCCAGTGTGGTTAAGTACCCACCTGCGTGTAGGAGCTCGCTCCAAGCTGAACTCCTCCTCAACCTCCGCTACTCCGCTGATATCCTCCTCCTCCTGAGTGGAGATCAAGGTATATAATCCGCTAGTGTTTTTAATATTGTCTATTGTTATTGTTTTTTCAAATACAATAAAATAGGCAGAAAGTGCACTGTCAAATTTACCCAGGAAATACTTTATCGACGTTTATTTAAACGGACCAAACTGAGAGCGACTGAAATTGTGGTGGCCTAATTATTGGCAATGAAGCACTGATAAGGTGCTGTGAAATATTTTCCCTGTACCTGGAACTTGTTGGATACGTCGAGAATCTCATCTGAGGTGAAGTTCTGCATTTTAACAGGTGTACTTGTAAATACTCTATCTGTACATGTAGGGTAATCATTATGTTAGTGTGACCATATAAGGTAATATTGGCTGGTTAGTGTGACCATATAAGGCAATATTGGCTGGTTAGTGTGACCATATAAGGTAATACTATGATAAGTGGGATCAGTACACACTGTACAGTGTACAAGCTGTCACAAAGAGCAGGGTGGCATATCTCTCTCTTAATAATTAGCATGGCACGCAGCACATTGCAGACATGATATCAGTAGAATTTATCAAACTGTCATAACTAGCTTCTCTGATACAAATCCCTCGTGTACAGATACCTTTAAAATTTGTAATACGATATACATTACTATTCCAATTTCATCTCTACTTTTATCAAAATGCACAGGCATGGAAAAGGAATTTTAAAAGAACCTGAAGGGGGTTTGAGGATGGGAGTTCTCTCCTCTGCTTTGGAGTTGTTCTGTTCGATAACCAGGGATTGTTCTCGAACTGTCTTCTTTGTTTTTACCAGCTGTTGAACTGTCTGCAGATTATATCGTGGTTTAGCATACTCAGCATATTTAGCATATTTAGCATATTTAGCATATTTAGCATACCAGCTTAGATCATACTCTATAAAGTCTGGAACAAGGAAGTTTACAGCAAAGATGACTTTATTTGTAACCACAAAATCGCTGTAATTGTGCATAACATCTGGCTGTTTACATTTACTGAATAAGAGCGGAGTCAGTTATACATATCATTATGAAGGATCTACAAGTATATGTATTATTAAGTGTACAAGTACTAAAGAGTCCTGTTATGATGTGTAACTCACAGTGTGTATAACTTAATAGTAAGTAACATTGTATATATCATTAATCAGTTAAACTCAATTAAAATCAATGAGACTTTTTGGGAAAACCAGACATTTAAGCTGAATGGTTATTTGCCACGTGTAAATGAAGTAAGTAAAGTGTGATAAGATAGCATTGTTTGCAAGCACGCCACCAAAGATCTGATGTATTAGGTGAACCGGCAGTACAGACCTACCTATGTGACCTATGTTGAGTTTCGTCAAGACTTGACGGGGCCATCACATCTTCTGACCACCCCATAGCGAAGTAGAGTCTCGCTCGTTGCGCCAGCACAGCAGAGAGTTGGTATTTGGAGGAGTATATCCCCTGATCGGCGGCTTATCAGGGAGAGACAACATGAACTTTGTGAGCTTATCTTTGAAGTGCTCTAGATCTTGAATGACATTCAGATGGTAGGGGATTGCATTCCAACTCATTTGACAACTCTGCAAATGAGTTGTCAAACAAGGTGAGGTTTGCTGTTGAACTGGTTCTACGTTTTGATGGAATTACTGCAAGGTTTCCAAGCCTTGGGCGTGAAACAAATAGAACGTTCAGATCATTGCTGGTCTTTCCGTGGAGGATTTTCCACATATGGAGAATGATGAATCGCTCCCGCCTTCGTTGAAGAGACATCAGAGATAGATAGACCAGGCGATCCCAGTAGTGGAGATCGCGCATTCCTGATATTCTGGCGGTGAATGCTTTCTGTACACTCTCCAGTTCTTGGATATCGCTGATTTTTGAGGGATGCCATAATGGACAGCAATATTCAATCAGACTTCGAACCATTGATTTGTATAGCGTCAGCATGATGGAGTGAGATCGTGTGTGAAATACACTGAGAACCCATGATGCTTTTTGGCGAGCTTTATCTGCAATGGCTCGTATGTGAGGGGACCAAGAGAGATCACTTGACACTATGACGCCTAAATCCCTGAGCTGATGTATTGGCTCAAGTATGGTGTCTTTGGAAACTGAGTATTGATAGTGTTCAACCACAAATGGAAGTTCAGATAGTACATATTGGTGGTTGAATTTATGACACATGTACTCAAATTTGTCTTTGTGAAGGGCCATACTATTTCTTTCAGACCAGTCAATGACATTTTGCAGATCTTCTTGGAGGAGCTTGACGTCATGCTCCGATTTGATAGCAATGGATATGCGAGTGTCATCAGCAAAACATCGAATTATAGAGTGCATGATACAATGTTCGATATCATTGATAAAAATCAAGAAAAGGATCGGCCCCAAAACCGTACCTTGTGGAACTCCGCTGATTATCAGTGCAAGGATGGACAGATGACCGTCAACAACAACTGCTTGTTTCCGGTCTGAGAGGAAAGATTCTATCCACTTTATGATTTTAGGATGGATTCCATAGAGTTGGAGCTTTCTCAGTAGGAGTTTGTGATCGACTTTATCGAAAGCCTTGGCATAGTCGAGGTATATTGAATCAAAATCTGAATTGTTGCTCAGAGAATCCAAAACGTCATCAAAATGGTGGAGAAGTTGAGTAAGGCAACTCCGGCCAGATCTAAATCCGTGCTGCTTACTACATATGAGGTTATTGATCTCCAAATAGTTAACCAGCTTTTTTCTTATCACCCTCTCGTATACTTTAACCACATGAGAGGTGAGTGATATAGGTCGGTAGTTAGCTGGTTTGGCTCGACTATCCTTCTTGTGGAGAGGAAATACGTGTGAGAACTTATAGAAACTAGGGACCTCCCCAGTAACTAAAGAGCGGGACCAGATGATGTGCATTGGTTCTGCTAGGGCTTTCTTACAGCTGTACAAGGTTCATGTGTATTTCACTGTATTATTCACATGTATTTGGTATTGTAGGGACAGTGCTCAATAACTGACAACAAAGGAAAAACTTTTCCTGTTTCGTCACGTGACACATATTTTGAAGTTTTCTCTGATTTATAACAGTATAACAGCTATGGTCAGCAATTAAACGGCTAGTACACTGCACATAAATGGTAAAGTTGTCCAACCTAAAAAGGCATATACGGTAATATTGCCATGGTAACATTACCATATACAGTAATATTGTCATGGTAACAGTGCACTAGCCACATGTAGTGTTTACTGTGTATGAGATTAGACGATTGTCGCAGTGATTTAACAAGCAGTAAAATCGTGCTAAAATAGCCTGGTTTATTATTGTAACATCTAAGTAGTAAATATTTGTATTTATCGTGCCAGCAGATCAGCAATTAACTGTAAATAACATCGTACTAACTACTAATAATTCTAAGTGTGATCATGCTTCATGCTAATGTTTGAGATGTATATGTTTGAGATGTGTGTGTGTGTGTGTGTGTGTGTAAGATGGATGTTTTCTAAATATGTAGATTTCTAATCGGTGTTATCCTTCAAGTTTAGCACGCTTTAAGTGTGGCAAAATAAGGTAGAAAGTAGTTCTCAGTAGGGAATACTAGAAATAACTATGAAGCATTAGAAAGTATAAGGAAGCACTAGAACGCATTAGGAAGTATCAGGAATTTCTAGTAGGTATGTAAGAAGTAGGACGGAAGTGTAGAATGACTACTCACGTCGATATGTCGCCGCTCCAGGTCTCTGTGATCCTTCTCCAACACCACCATTCTGCCTTCCAAACTCTGAACTGTAAATAATAAATCACGTACTAATTCTGAGTGACGTAATTCTTAAGCGGTTGGACCTTTGCCAGATTCTTGAGCTGGAGCTTGGTCAGATTTAAATATTTAAACATGGTGGTTTAAGAGCATAATTCCCCACATAATAATATTTAGAGTATAGGGATTAGGGACAAAAGGATTTCGCGATTATTTTGGCCAAAATTCGCGATACCGCGATTTTTAACAGACTATACATTAAACTTTGCATAAAATTTGTCGCAAATAATGGGAAAAATCGCGATTCTGTACATGCCGCGATTTCCTTTTGTCCCTGATAGGGATGTTTTACTTCAACAATGTCTTCTCGTCACTGTGAACAATATTACGATAATAGATATCGGCAATAACTAAGGCCTTAGAAGAATTTTTAGAACGTTTACTAGAACGTATGCCCGTCCTCTCAACTCCTCAGAAAAAGGAAATTAGTTTTATGTTACACGCGGCATTCCGAACATATCATCCATCATGCGTATAATTCATAATATAATATACTTATATACACTAAACATACGTGACAATCTCTACTCGTCAAAGTTTATTACATTCTACAGTACGGTGTTTCCGTGTTTAGTGTACTTTCAGAAGTCGAAGAGACGAGAAAAATCCTACACATGAAATGAAATACCGACTTATCAAATGTACGCGGAATTTTCTAGATCAAATTACCTCTCAGTTAACATGTCAAATAGATTAATTTGATAAATAATAATGTAAATAAAAACGGAAATAAATGTAAATAAACGACATGGTCACGTACGAATTTTATGACATCGCATATTTTAGGATCCCGTGTAAGTTAAGGTAGAGTTGACTCAACAAGTAAATACAGTAAACCACGATTTACCGCGGAGTTTGGGGAAAGGAAACAACCGCGGTAAATCGGGGTTTGCGGTAAATCAGAGTTTTGTTTGTTCACTTTATGCTATTAAACCCTACTTAGGGGAAGGAAATAGCCGCGGTAAATCGGGGTTTGAGGTAAATCGGAGCGCGGTAAATCGGGATTTTACTGTACATGTAGCATGCAATGAAAATGTATCACAGATTGAATATTAAACATACTGTATTCTTTTTTTGAGGAGAGATTCAGGGTCATAGACTTGTTTAGAGAATGCAGTTGCTCGTGTTGATCTGACAATCTTTTCTTTTGGGTTTCCAGGGTTTCTTCAGAACAAGTTTTCTCCTGTGGAATGTTGTTGTTAACTGACAGCTTAACTCTATTAATACTACAATTATTGTTCAACAGAATTTAAATGAAACAAATCTTTTGGCAGGTTTCAAGAAAGAATTATGGTTTGTACCAGTTTTTCTTTAAGTTTTGATTTTTTTTAACTGGTAGGATTTACGTCTAAATAAATATTGAACCACAGTTCTATCATGAGCAGTAAGATAACTATATATTTAGATTCGACTATAAAGAGTATCTAATCTTTCAGTACGCATCCTCCAGTGCAGTAATAACTACATTATATAATACATAGATTATTAAAAAATAATTCATGCATGTGTTGCAATTTGATATTTCATTCTTTTATTCATTCAGTTAAAGAAACTTTGATGGTATTGTTTGAAAAAGTACAAGCCTATGAAACAATATAAGATTGCTCTGCACTTGGTATTGTGCAAACTCCAACACATAGATTATAGAAAGAACAAGAAAGAAAATACAGTATTTATTACCCTGCTTTTATGTAACAACTAGTAAAACAAATAATCACAGTACTTGGATTTTTAGGCATTGCCCCAATGAGTTATCCCTATAAATTGTACTTGGTACCTCTGCATTTGTAGGCTTTGGATAAATTATAATTCCTCTGATACAATAATTCAGCTAGAACAACAGTCATTTGCATAGCAACAGGAATCTAAACCTCTTCAATTAGTTCTCTTAGTTGTCTCTGTCGTTTCATCTCTTGTTTTGTCTGGGAGAGTTCATCACGGAGCTCTTCTATTGCTAGGACAGCCTCATCGCACTCCAGGAAGGCAATATCAAGCTCCTCCAACACGCTGACTATTAGGGGCATCAATTCTGCTATCACCTGAACAGTGAGTATTTCAGATAATTGAAGTTTTAAAATTGCACGTTTTAATACTTTCAACACTACTATATAACAAATAATTTGAGGTATCGAATTATTACAAAGCAGTTGTTTAGTTTTTTTAAGAACTGACAATTTGTCATTTTGTCTTTCGGTCCTTGATCTTTGTAGCAGGGTGTTTAACATGGAAAAGATGGAGTTGGACCTGAAAAAGATGGAGGAACAATTGGAAAAGATAAACTGCAATACACTGAAGTTTAAAGGTAAGAAAGATGATAAAGATAATAAGATTAAGATAACTATTGAAGCGGCTAGTGGGGACCTTTTAGGTTCATTTTCCAAACCAGACATGCTTGTCGTTATCCAGGATATTTACACTTTCTCCAAAAATGCTCTTCAACTAACAAAAACTGTTCTAGGAACAAAACAAGCCACAACTTCTACCAAACAGGAATCACCAGATTTCAAAGAAATTATAAAGACACAGCTCAAAGAGGTACTAGCAGAAGTACTCCCTACAATACTAACCGATTTATTGACTTCAGTGGTGGCAAAGAAGACTCAAGAAGAAACGAAGCTCGCAGAAAAACACATTCTCACAGTGGAGAAAAAGACTGGGAGTTCTGAAGAACCCATTACAAAGGAGGATGAAAAGGAAATGAAAGGTTCCCTTAAAGTCAACCCAGTGAAGAACTATACAGTGTCCGGAAATACTGCAACTTTCAAGTTTGTGACCAGGGATCAACTTCAGAAAGCTGAGACAGTATTTAAATCTCAAGATAAATACAAAGTATCATCAAAATCCGAACCAGGAAAAAAGTTGGACCCCAAATTGTCTATTCGGAATATTCCCTCTGACATCACAAACAAGGAGACATTGCTAGAGAAACTTTTGGAAAAGAATGAAATACTGAAGTCCTCTTCTGGAAAAGACGATGCAGTAAAAGTGGTTTTCTTCGATGAGATTGAGAAATCGGCTGTCATCCGTGTCACTGCAGCAATGCGTGAGTTAATCAGACAAAACAGAGACTATATGGGCAATTCCACGATAACGGTAACCAGTAACAAAATAATAAAGTTTGGAGGTGGTTTGGGAGAGATAGAAAATCTTTAAGATATTTGACCATATTTTCAGGGGCAAAAAACCGTTTGTTGATATCTAGCCTAGTTTAAAAACTGTAGCGCGTCAAAGTTGGCTTAAATTTAGTGTATCTTTAGTGTGAATATCCAGTTATTTTCCGAAAGATTTTAGGGAGCTTTATCAATCGTAGAATTCAATATTTTATCCTGTATATCAACCTAGTGGGCTTCAGATAGAAGGCCAGCCTAATTTTGAGGGCCAAATTTCTTTACTTTTTGAGTGTCTTATGATCAAATTTTTCCTCTTCGCGTGTGAATAACGCTACCAAATAGTGAAAAATGTTTTACTGTGGCTACACTATAAGTCTGTTTGATTCGTAACTCTCTCTCTAACGGCAACTTTAGTCATCTATAAAGGTCAGAAAATTTCATTCGTTTTGTCACACTGGAAGTGCAAAAAGTAGGGGTAGTGTGATTCACAGGTAGCGTAATTCACAGCTTGGTAGTGTAATTTACACAGCGGAAAATTAATAAAACAAGTGGTTTAAATGCTTTGTTGTGAAATAAATTGTACTTTCAATACTTCCAGGGCAATTCCAGGGACCTATTTTCAACAACTGCCTGAAAGTGTTGGTAATTTAATCGAAATTAGGGTTCCGCCAGGGCAAAATGTGCCACTTTTAGACCTTAAATCGCAAAAATAATGATTTTTAAATGGATAAGGACATCAAAATTGATTTGAAAGTGTTGTATAGTCATTGTTAGGTCTGGGAACACTTATTTAAGTAATTTAAATGCTTATTTTCAGAAAATATCAGCAATTTGGGGCTAAAATTACCTTATTTTCTTGTCACGTAACTAAATTTTGCTCAAAAGAGCAGTGTTTTTGCCCCAAAAAATTATAATTTTTATCAAAAACCATGTATAGAGGTATCAAATTAAAGCTCTTGATGACCTCTTCACATTAAAAACACAAAGAAGTAGTTTAGAATTGATATAAGTGATAAAATGGTCTAAAAATGGATTCAAAAAGTTATAAATTTCTGTCTAATCATGAACCTTTGAGAGCTCATAAAAAAATCTTGCCACAATATTACACTGTACATTTTTCTAGGATTACTCTAAATGTCCTATACTTACAGATAGATCAACTTATAGATGCTTACCAAAGTTAATTTGCAACTTATTTTTGTAGTTTGTCCTAAAAAATGGCAAAAAATTGCCAAAAAATGCAATTTTTGACAAAAAATGAGGTAAAATTAATAATTGAGGTCAAATATCCATTTAATCACTCTAAAAACCTTTTTAAACGTTATTTTGGGGCAAGATACCCCTAGAATACATGTTTTGTGGTATATCATACCCCTTAATCATGCCTACATCTTATGTCTACCTCGCATGGGCGCCCCGACCACTGTGGTATGGCAGTAGGGTGTAATCTACACCATTACCAGTATCTAATTGGACCGATTAGTAGTCAATTTAATTTAAAATCAGTAATAGTCAGTCTATTTCACCATTTTACAATAGCAGCAACCAAATCAAGAACAAGCAAACATCAATACAACGCACAAACAGAGCAACTGGGCAGAGTGTGAGTTACACTACGTCCAAATGTGAATAACGTTTACTTCCTATATTGTCCCTGTACTACACACATTCCAGAAATTTATGTTAGGAAGGACATAGGAAGTTGAAAAAATGTGTACTTTATTGTGATCAAGCCTTATTGTAACTTCTGCTATTACACTGGGGCACGAATTGCAATTTTAAGGCAAGATTTCTAAAACACCAAATTCTGCCTGTGAATAACGTCTACTTTTTAAAATGCTGCTCACATAAAAAGTATAAGAGATAGACATTAAACTTTTGTTGCCACATCATCACAAACGTTTAAACTTCATTCTGACTTTATATTATCATGATGCTAATGTTAGCCTACAATTAGCATGCAATTAAAAGCTAAATTTTGTGCAAAGTGTGAATTACACTACGTGGAATTGCCCATATACACATTGACCTCAGGGAACACCATGTCACAGACCGAATTCATGTCATTCAATGTTATCATTGCCAGGAATTTGGTCACATAGCCAATTCCATGTACTGTAAAGCCAAAGATAAAGACCCAACATGTTTCTTTTGTGCAGGAAGCCACAAGTCGAAAGATTGTAATAACAAGAGTGAAAATAATGTAAAAAAGATAAATTGCTCTAACTGCGCCAAAAGTAGTAAACACTCGGAGAAGAACTCAGCAAAGACCCATAAAGCCTCAGATAACCTATGTCCCTCGTATGTAAGAGAACGGACTGGAATAATGAATAGGACAGCAGGATGTGAGAATGCAAAAAACTGGTACATACAGAAGACAAAGGAGACCAAACTACGCCTAGGAAGAGTTTAAGGATTGGAACGTTCAATGTTAGATCCCTAGTGAACAAAACAGTCGGAGTGTTAGAGCATCTTCAAGAAGTTGATTGTGACATCTGTTTTGTACAAGAAACCTTCTTTCGTGATGGAAACACAGCTAAGATAAAGGAGATCAAAGACCTTGGTTGGAATATACTCTCGGATCCAAGAAAACACAGAGGAGGAGGAGGTATAGCTATGCTATTTCGTGATGTGCTCCAGTTAAAGTGTAATAGTAAGGTCATGAAGTACAAATCCTTCCAAGTGATGGAATCACTGCTACAATCCCAACAAGATATTGTGAGACTTGTGAACTTGTATCGGCCTCCTTATACCAAGAAGGCTCGGTAAACGGAGTGTGCCTTTTTAGAAGAATTCGAAGACTACCTTAAAGACCTCACAGTCAAACCTGGCTTCCCCATCATTGCTGGAGATTTCAACTTTCACATGGAAAAGCCTGAAGAACACTACCCAAAGAAGCTCTACCAACTCCTGGAGGAGTATGATCTATACCAACACGTTCCCCTTGAACCAACCCATGACCAAGGTGGAACCCTAGATCTTGTAGTGACTAACAGATCCTTCAAGGAAAAACTGACTTCATTCGAAATCTGTCCCTCTAGAACCAAATCTGACCACTTCCTTGTCCTCTTCGATGCAGACATCAAGACAAAGACCAAAGAAGACGCAAAATTCATGAACTACAGAAACTTTAATTTAATTGATACAGAACAGTTTAAAGAAGATATTTTAATTTCAAAACTGACAAACCTCCCTAAAGACATGTCTCCGAATGATGCTGTTGTCCTTTACAATACCGTGCTCACTCAGTTAATGGATAAACACTGTCCTTACATAAAAAAGAAGATTACTAAGAAGCCAATGCCTTGGTAAGACCTGGAACTTCGTATTCTCAGGCGAAAGAGAAGAACTGCTGAACGTGCGTGGAGAAAAGATAAAGTTGATGATATAGACAGTGCAAGATCTGAGTACCTGAGATCGGATTATGTTAAGCTAAGAGATGAGTTTTCCCGACTAGAGTTTGTCAAAAGATGCGCTCACCACAAAACCTCTCTTAGGTCCTCTTCAGGGGATACTAAAGCGTTGTACAAAAAAGTTAACAGGCTTTTAGGAAATGACACCCAAAACCTTCCAAACTACAAGGATCCTGTGAAACTGTCAGAAGATTTCAAAGATTTCTTCGCTGAAAAGGTTGCAACCATCAGACAAGCCATTGAGAAGGAAGGAAAAGACAAAGACAAAGACAAAGACAAAGACAAAGACAAAGACAAAGACAAAAGCAAAGATATAAACAAAGACAAAGACAAAGATGTAAACAAAGACAAAGACAAAGACAAAGACAAAGACAAAGACAAAGACAAAGATAAAGACAAAGACAAAGATATAGACAAAGACAAAGACAAAGACAAAGACAAAGATCCTGTTCTTGATAAAGACTGCATCTTTGATAATTTCTCTGAGATAACAGCTGATGAACTCAAAGACCTGGTATCAAAGATGTCCAACAAGTTCTGCTGCTTGGATCCGATCCCAGCATTTCTCTTAAAAAACTGTGTCGATGAACTAACACCTTTTTTACTTCATGTATTGAACTCATCCTTGAAGACTGGAGTCTTTCCCTCAGATACGAAGAAAGCAGTCATCAAACCGACTTTGAAGAAGGAAAATGCTGATGTTGATATTCTCAGTAACTATCGACCAGTGTCTAACCTTTCTGCCTTCTCTAAGATCCTAGAGAGAATTGTACTAAACCAGCTTAATGTCCATCTAACGAACCATAGCCTTTACTCAAAAGTCCAATCTGGATATCGCCCTAATCATAGCTGTGAAACATTACTTGTTAGAATGTGTGATGATCTAAACAAAGAAATTGAAGCTGGGAATGTTGTTATAGTTGTACTTCTCGACTTAAGTGCAGCATTTGATACCATTGACCACACAGTCTTATTGGAAAAGCTTATGAAGGACTATGGAATTACTGGAAGTGCACTGCAATGGATAAAGCCCTACCTTGAGAAAAGACACTTCTGTGTTAAGATTGATGATACTCTTTCATCTTTCTTGGAGCTGCTGTTTGGAGTTCCCCAGGGATCACTCTTGGGGCCTATTCTTTTCATCCTTTATATCAAAGCTCTCCAGAAAATTGCGGCCAAATATGGTCTTGATATACAGCTCTATGCAGATGATTCTCAACTGTACATCTCCTTTAAACCAAACCGTGTGGTACAGTTCATTGATGTCCAAGACAGAACAAACAAATGTCTTGCAGAGATAAAAGCATGGATGGTCAACAACTACATGAAACTGAACGAAACAAAGACAGAACTACTGGTGTTAGGAAAGAGCCATGTTCTAAAAAAGTGTGAACTCAGTGTCAGACTGCAATTTGGAAGCACTGAAATTCTGCCTACGGAGTGTAAAGGAGACAGCTGGAAGAGTCTGGGTGTCAAATTTGATGAAACTCTAAATATGGAAAGACAGATCAATAATGTAAAAAGGAAATGCAGCTGGACAATGATGAATCTAAGAACCATTGGTCGTTACCTTGATGAAGGCATTAAATTGATGCTGGTGAAACAACTGGTCATATCTAAATTAGACTACTGTAATTCTCTTTACATGAATCTACCCAAGACCAGATTGAACAAACTTAGATCAACCCTAATGGGGCAGTTCGTTTCATCTATAACATAGAAGAGAGGACCACGGACTTGGTTCCCTTCTATAAGAAGGCCCACATACTCCCATAATTTAAACCAACGAATCTTCTTTAAAGTTTGTCTTTTAACCCACAAATCAGTTCACGGTACTGCACCTGATTACCTCAAAGCACTACTGGATGTGGATGTAGTGGATAAAGAACTCTCAAACACTATGACCATGACCAGGTCGAAGAGACCTGATGACCATCTCATGCTCAAGGTACCAAAGAATAAAAGATCCAAAGTTGATGACAGACGTTTCTCAAGCCATGCACCGATTGCATGGAACTCTCTTCCCCTGATGTTGAGATGTATCACTGATACCAACTGTTTCAAGCGAATGCTAAAGAATCATTTATATAATCAGTTCTGATGTTTTTATTTCCATTGTCTTCACTTTGCAAGACACATTGGCTTTTATTTTTTACCGCACTCCATTTTATGCCTTGATCTCTTACTTACTTGGATCTGATTCTTTCTTGATTGATTATGTCACTGTACTAACCTTTATTATACCTACATGTACTGTATGGTTTCTGCTTCTATTTAGTTTAGTGTGGTTTACAATAAAAGATGTTTTAATTTTGTCTTTGCCTTATGCTGAGTTATACTTTAGTTCACTTTTTACACTTTTGCTCACATCACTCACAGTCAGCCGCTCTGACATGGTTAACCACCTTCCTTGTGTTGTTGGTTAATCATATGAGCGGGATATAAATACCTCATTTCATTTCACGTTCGTTGTCATAAATTTAAACAGACATAACAGACATATTCTCAACAGTATATAAAACTTCTTACCTCATCCCCATGAACACGTATCATAGTCTGCAGCTCAGCATAAATCTTGCCAGCAATGTTGAGGGTGCGCTCTGACATGATCCCATCATGCGATCCATCTTCAGACAACGCCATTTTATCAGAGAGGTCTTAATTTCATTCTTCTTGCCACATGAAAACTTTAAAGATGGATACCATACCAGCCTAAGTCAGTAAACCATATCAATTGGTGATAATAATAGAGTTTTCTAGCACATTTTACTTCATTTTCCAATAAAATCTAAATTGGACAGATCAAGAGTGCAGCAAATTTATTGATTTCAGTCCCGATAGCATTCACGTTACACTTTGTAATGATTGCATCAAGTTTGGTTGAGCACTTAACTTGGGTAATATTATAAATAGGAATTATGATACTTATTATTTTGCTCAAGTTTGAATCAAGCATTACATTTCATCCACGCAAAATAACAGGGACATTATTTTGTAATTAAACAATAATATATAGTAAATTTGCATACTGTGTGGCCGGATAAAAACAAACTAGACTAAAAAAATAAACTTGATTACATAATGATCTTTGGATGAATTTGGATGAATCAACACATTATAGGATCCACATTAACGTCATGTTGGGGCCATACCAATTCAAGAATAAAAACAATAACAAACGATCAAACATCTATATTGTAATTTGAAAGTTTCTCTCTGTACGACCGCCCAGTGGCGTACCGTTGCCTGTTGGCGCCCCCTATTGACGCCCCCTCCCCTTTTGGTGCCCTCCCTAAAATTGAACAAATTGGATGATTTTATAGGATACTAGAAAGCCCGTGGTAACAGGGACGAAGCTAGTAGTATTCTTTGAAAGAAAAAAACTTAAATAGTTTTAAAACTATTTTCACAACTACAATTAAATACATTTATTGAGTTCAGGGATGGAAAACGATGACGGGCAAACGAGGCACACTGATAGTGCCCCAGCCAGTAGAGAACATGTAGAGACGAATGAACAAGCTGAAGAAGAAAGTACTAAACCTGAAGAAGATTGTTTCTGCAAGGAACACATTGAAGATTCTCTATGGATTAGATGTGATTGCTGCATCAAATGGTGTCATCTTGATTGTGTTGGACTGACAGGACTTGACGAGGTTCAGGTGCTTTTGATCAAACAATATAAGTGTCCACACTGCATTGTCAATGCGACAACAATGCTGATCAAGTTGAGTGAAACCATTAATGAAACGATTACCAATGCTGTTAAAAACAGTCTGCAGAACGCGTTACCAACCGCAATGGCTGCTGTCAAAAAAGATATAGTCAATGAATCATCTTCAAAAGTGAAGAGCTACGTTGATGCAGCGAAGGTTGACCTCCAGGCAACTATTAGTGACAAGCCACCAACTCAATTAGTGAAGGCAACAGTCCAACAGATTGATGCTGACAAGATCCAACGGATCAAAAGAGAATGTAATGTGATCATTAGACACGTTCCCGAAACGGCTATCAAAGAGAACAGATCTCAAAGCAATGATCTCAAGTTTTTAAATGAAATTTGTGGCATGGAAGAAGACGTGATTGTGTCCTGTTTTCGGGCAGGTAAATTAACTGAATCTGGTGAAAGCAGAGAACATCAACCTAGACCGCTGATTGTAAAACTAAAATCAAAAGAGGCTGCATTGTATTGGAGTAACTATGGGAAAGGTTGGAAGATAGAAGTGGATTCTGAGAAAACGAAGAAAGAAGTTTATTGGATCAATCAGGATCTGAACAGAGCTGACAGAGACGTCCAATTTTTGTGAGACAGGAACGGAGAAAGCGACTTGCAGAGAAAGCAAAGCTATAGAATGCCTAAACCTTAAATTGTTTTATAGTAACAGTAATAGTTTATATAATAAGTTTTGTGAATTGAGAAATGCTGTTTCGCTGTACCAGTCTGACATTGTTTGCATAAATGAAACTCATTTTAACAATGAAATTATTGATGCTGAAATTAGCATACCTGGTTTCAAAATATTTAGAAAAGATAGAGATTTTACAGTTAATGAAGAAGTAGGAGAAAGTTCTGTTAGTAATGGTGGAGGCTGTATTATTTATATTAAAGACTCTTTGAACCCAGTTGTCATAGATTGGTTTAGGGTCACTGATTCGATTGCTGTTGAATTCGATAGCAACATTGGTAGGGTAAATATTGCATGTATTTATAGATCAATGTCTCTTTCTAAAGCGCAGAACAATGCGATGACCAAAATGATTGCAAAACTAGCTGTTTTTAATGTTGAATCAATCCTAGTTGGAGATTTAAATTTACCAAATGTATCTTGGCTTAGTGGAACTGTTAATGCTCCTTTAGGAACAAGTAACAAGGGTTTAATTATAGAAAAGAATTTTATGGAATGTGTACAAGACAATGGCTTGGTTTGGTATATCACAGATGAAGTTACCAGACGTAGAGTTGTCAGCGGTAAACTTCAAGAGAGTACACTAGATCAGGTTCTCTCTACAAACGAAGCTATTGTCAATGAAGTAATGATTGTCTCCCCCTTGGGGAAGAGCGATCATGTTTGTTTTAATGTAGAATTAAATCTAAGTCTTAGTAACAGTAAGCAAGATGATGAGGCTGCAAAGGAGCCTAGAAAGTTATGGGGAAAAGTCTCTGGCAAAGAATTGTTACACAGATCAGCTGAAATTGACTGGTCTTTTAGTGAGGGTACTTTAACTTCTGAAGATATGTGGAGTGAGTTACACTCAAAGCTTAACTTAGTATCTGATATAGTTCCGACGGAAAAGAACTTTAAATGTGAGCCTTGGGCAAATTCATCCTTAAAAAGATGCAGGAAAAAGACAGATAAATGTTGGTATATATTTGATAATAATCCTTCTTCTGAAAATCTTAATGTTGCACTGAACCAACAAGGACAGTTTGATAGTAAGTCATTTAAGTGTAAAGTTAATTATGAAAGAAAAATTACACAGTGTATGAAATATAATACAAAGCCATTTTATGCATATTTAAGAGGGAAAAGAGTGTTAAAAAGTTGTATATCATCCCTGGAAAAACCTGACGGATCTTTGACCAAAAGTAATTTTGAAACTGCCGAAGTATTGGCTGATGCTTTTGCTTCAGTTTTTGTCAAAGAACCAGATGGACCTTTGAACAGAGAATGTTATTTTATTGCAGATGAGTTACACATTGAAAATATTGAGATAACAATGGATGATGTTGGCAGAGAACTGAAAAGAATTAATATTAGTAAAAGTAAAGGGCCAGATGGCATTCATCCTAAATTATTAAAAGAACTTGAACATAATTCAAGTTTTGTTTCTGCTGTGACTAAATTATTTCAAACATGTGCTTCAAGTGGGAAAATTCCAGAACAGTGGAAGACAGCAAATGTTACATCTCTTTATAAAAAGGGTAGTCGGAAAGATGCCCTAAATTACAGGCCAGTGTCACTTACATGCATTTTATGTAAATTATATGAAAAATTAGTAAGGAGGCATATTATGAGTTTTGTTAGTAAGAAGATAAATCCAAACCAGCATGGATTTGTAGAAGGTAAATCTTGTTTATCTAATCTATTAGAGAGTGTAGAATGTATCATCGAACTATTAGAAGATGGTGCACCCGTAGATGTGTTTTACTTAGATTTTTGTAAAGCATTTGATAGTGTTCCACATCATAGACTACTTACAAAAATGAGAAATTTGGGTATAAGTGGTAACACTTTAGATATTGTGAAAGACTTTTTATCTGGAAGAAGATTTAAGACATTTGTTGGTGGAGCATATTCCTACCTTCGTGATGTTTTATCAGGCGTCCCACAAGGGTCTGTTTTAGGTCCTTTATTGTTTGTCATTTTTATCAATGACTTGCCTGATTGTATTAATGGTATATCAAAACTGTTTGCAGATGATCTTAAAGTTATTATGGATGCCAATGACACTGAAAGCACTTTCAATATGTTAGAAAGCTTGCAATACTGGCAAAATGTGTGGCTGTTAAAGTTTAATCCTAGCAAATGCAAAATAATGCATGTTCCATTTAATGAAAATCCCCTTCAAGAATATGTATTTAGTGGTGTTACACTTGAATGTATTGAAGCAGAGAAAGATCTTGGAGTTTTAACTTCTTCAGATTTGAAATGGTCGAAACATATTAAAAGTTGTATTAGTAAAGCAAACAGTATGATTGCATGGGTTACAAGGAATCTCATTATAAGAGAAATTAATGTTATGAGAAATGTTTATAAAACTATAATAAGACCCCACTTGGAGTATTGTGCTCAGTTGTGGTCTCCACCTGCCTGCCATGGGAATTGGGCTTCTATCATTGAACTGGAAAATGTCCAGAGAAGGTTCACACGCCTTATTGATGATATTGGAACACTTCCTTACAGTGAAAGGTTGGATGCCTTACAGATTACAACACTCGCAGAGAGACGGGTTAGAGGAGATTTGATTGAAGCCTACAAAATTGTAAATGGATTGGTTGAGTATGGAAAAGATATTTTCAATTTAAGTAGATCGGGAGATAAAATTGTTAGCACTAAATCTAACAATATTGATAGAAATATTAAAACCTTGTCTAATAATTTTTTATCAGAGCGTGTTATCAGCTTTTGGAATAAATTGCCATCTTTTGTTAGAAATTCAGTGTCTGTTATTGATTTTAAAATTAATCTAGAAGAATTTAAAAAGACTAATAATTTAGTAGACACAGGCAACTTTTGGGAAGTGTCAAATATAGTTTTAGCAAAAATAGAGGGTGTAAATTATATCGAAAAGAAGAAGCAACAAGTCCAATATTTATATAAAAATCCGTGTGTTGCCAAGAGAAAGGGAATAAATATCTCATGAATTTGTTTTTATTTATTTATTTTTTAAATTAACGGTTTTTAACTTTTAAAACTTTTTTATATGTAAATAAATTATGACAATTATGTTAGTTATAGAATTTGTTTGTTTTTTAATGACGAAGGCTGTGAAATGTTCACAGTTCTGATAATGAGGAAATCAGAAAGAATGTTTAAAACTAGTGATGATGTTTATGTCATTATTCTTAATCTAATCTAAAAAAAATCTACATCAAAAAATATCCATCCCAACCGAAGATACAGCCGATTTAAATATAAAACACTTTAAACACAACGTAATTACCACAAAACCGATCAAAATGACGTTAAAACAATCTTTGCACGTGCATGTGTGCATTAAAACACCGTTGCTATGGAACGTTTTGGTTGTTACCTAAATTCCTATTTTTCATTTAATTTGCACGTGGGCGGTCGTACAGACAGACAGACAAAAATAATTTTTTGAATTATAGTAGAGATGCCGGTAAAATCTCTAAAAAAGTGTGTTTCTAGAGTGTGTTTCCTATTTGGAAGATCAGACAGGATGCAAGAAATGCTTGCAATTTGTTCCACCATGCATACAACATGACAACCGGG